ATCTGCTCAAGCAAGCACTTCTTGACCAACACTGGAGTGTACTTCGACATGGAGCATACTTCAAAGGCACTGAATGCTTTACATATGAAAATAAATAAATGGAGAATATGGTTCAGTTCTTTGGCATGCTTCAGGACACTCAGGTTGGAGAGGAGATGAGTTTGGTTGCATTGCTATGGAGTGGCTGAAAGAAAGCTACCAGTGTGGGCTCAGCATAGCCTTCACATGAGTGCTCTCTGAATATGTACAGTATGCCACCAGGGAGAGCAGGGCTGAAAAGGGTCCTCCTTGTGCTCAGCACGCACACGAGCTCACACTCCACCAGGCCTGACCGTGGCTCCAGGCAGCTCTCGGCCTCAAACTGAACGCTTCATTAAAGCATACCGACTCCCCTAGGCCCACATGTGTTCCCCGTGCTCCACTATGGAAGAAAGAAGGGATGAATAATGTATGGTAAAAAAATGGCAGCTGTAAAAAAATTTTTTAGGTTTTACGGATTTAACTTAAATTTACATTTAAAACCCGTATTTCAGAGTCAGAGTGTTCTGTGAGTGAAAATATATCTGTGCTAATCATATACTCAGCCTCCAACTCACACACTGGCGAGTAAAATCTGAGAATTTATTAGCCATTGGCTAATATTAGACATCATTTAGTTGCCCAGAGTGAAGATTTAGTCGCATATGCTAGTGATTTACTCGCAATGTAGAGGTTTGTACCCACCTATTGAAGTACTGAAATCTGGTTAGTACCTTTGTAATACATAACCACCAAAAGCAGGTGGTGATGAGAAAATCACATAATTAACCAAAGCTCATCACAAGCAGGTTTTTCACAAGCTGAGAAGGAATATACTAATATATAGAAGATGCACAGCGTCAATCACACAAATACTAAACACCATCATGGTTACACAGGACACTAACATAATGCAAATAAACATTAATCTAACAAAATTAGATGTAACAAACAACCCTAATAAACATAACTGATAAGAAAAAACTAGGAAGAAACAGTTATTTCAACGGAAAAACATAAAATGTGAAATGTTACGCAGGGAATTCTGAATGTCAGTTTACGGATTTTCACTGTAAATTATATGTTCTTTAAAAAAAAAAAAGTATTTTACCGTAACATTACATGAATTTGCAATTACCGTTAACCAATGAATAGGTTTTTACTGTAGCATTTTTACAGTCTTTTACCGTTAAAATCACGATCATTTTTACAGTGTACATACTTCCTGTTTCCAGTATTAGGGGTTCACCCATACCATTTGTTCAGAACTGATCCGATCCGATACCTGATTTGATCATCACTCTTTGTGTGTTAAACACAAGCTACTAAATATAGACAACTTCATTATAAAGAAAAACAACAAATGACAAAAATATATGACAAAAATACTATTATAAACTAGGTTAGTGGATAATTCAACAGCAAAAGTTACTTGAGAAAAATGATGAGTGCACAATAATTTTTTATAAATCTAAACGGTGAAAAAACATTTAGTGGGAAACAAATAAAAGTGAATAAGTGTAGGACTAAATCTGGTAAAATGTTACACATTGCTCTTTGTATTGTTGTAAAATATATTCATGAAAAACAAGTAAATATTATATTTATATAGTTATATTTATATATAAATATATACTATAAAATGTAAAATACATTTCTTTTCAATCTATAGCACGGTAATGAAGCAGCAACATATGATAGATAGGACAGAACAAGAAAGGCTATTAATAATCTTTCATTGCGCAAAAGTATTATAATATAATTTTTTAATTATGTATTGTTTTTAATGAATTGTTTTTTTTTAGTTCTTATTATTTATTTATTTATTGTAATAGCATAGTACTTGATTAGCATATTCATGTATTTTTGTGTTCCAAGGTACTTCAAAGAATGCCATGGTCCTTTTTTGTTAGAATATGTTGTGTGGTGAAGCATTTTCTGTGGTGATACCGCAGCACATACAGTTCTCATGTCAAATGGCCACTGTCTCTCATCTTTTGACAGTTTTGGCATTACCGCTTTGGGTAAGGTTTATAGCCAAGCCTGGAGAAATAAAACCTCCTCAGCATTTTGGGATTTTTTTCCACCACTAGTTGCCTAGTTTTCCTTTGCCATGGCTTACAAATAGAGAAAATTATAATTTATTTCAACTTTCACAGACATTATTTATTTATTGGTTCAAGATGTTCAAAATCCCCACACACGGTTGGATTGAGTACAGAATCAGTCTCCTTTACGTCAGCAGGAATAATCTGAAGAAGCCACAGTTCTCCCTGTCTGTCTGCTGTTTTTCTGAGTTAATTATTTCACGTATTATGATGATCCTAGTACATTTGTGTGAGCTGTGTTTGTGTAAATACTTATATGTGGGTGGATGTACACAGAACAGACCTTGATTTATTGTACTAGTACAGTAAAGATGGCTAAACACACAACTTGCATCTACTGCAAACGCACCCACATGCACACTTTCATATACTTGCATACACACCGAGAACCAGCAAACACCCACTCATTCGACTTTGCTCTTACTGACAGGCCGTTCGTGTTTATCATCATAGACTAATTTGTTCTACAAGGATTTGTTCTACTTGCAAGGTCACAGTCTAGGGCCACGCACCCAGGCCCCCTGTTGTGCAGCACTTGTACACATACACACACACTTCCAGTAAGGACTCCTCCTCTGTTCTCACCAGTTAACCAAAAAGGGCCCTTTGAAGTCAGCTGGAGTTTAGCTGTTACTGGAAAAACAGCTTCTGAAAAACCCTTTTTTCCCCCTTGATACCATGTTGCCCTGTGAATTTTTGTTAATTATGTTCTCAATTTTTTAACCTTAAAACTTTGCCTCGCCAAGTCTTCTTAAAATCACCTTACGTTTTAAAACTAGCTTTCTAAACTTCAAAATACTCATGATTTCGTACTACAATAAAGCTCTAGTCATTTAAAAATGTGTATATATATATATATATATATATATATATATAACTATAACTATAACTATAAACTAAATAAATATATAAACTAATTTTGTATTTTTGTAAATTTGTGTTTATTGCAAAATATGCATATTTACAAATGTTTAAGTAGTTTGAGAGCATGGGAAATTGAATGTACTTCATTCACAGTGCTTTATGGGAGTTGGCGGGCACTTAAATAATTTGGTGCCATTTTGGTAGAGATGTTTTGCAGAATCATGGGTAACTTAGCTTTTGCTGTTAAATACAATTATTTAAAAATAAGTTGAAATAATGTAGGCTGATGGCTTCAACAAAGCATTCGGTATATCAATTAACAACCTGGTAGCTCACAGTGGATCTGTCTATAAGTTATTGCTAATAATCAATTAATATAGTTAGCTGCAAGTTAAGAGCAGTACTTAGCTAGCCACATTAAAGCTATTTAAGTAATATCGTTTTATATATAGCCTATTTAACCTATTTTTTTCAGAACAGTTATAACTATAGAACATCCGAACAAACTGATCCGCTGACTTCTGATGGTAAATTTTCACACTTCACACGTGTAACATGGTCTAAGAAAGATTCATCTATCTTTTCACTCTTATTCTAGTGCTTAGTCAAGCGGTTCTGGAATGTTCCTTCAGGATATAACATAGTAGTGACTAGCAGTGTTGTTGTAAACAGGCTTTGGCAGCTAATGAAGAATGAACTGTAGAATTCATTACAGTCCATCCTGTGATTTAGACTGGCCAAAGCATTGCGGAGCTGACTGCTGCTGTCTCAGGAGAGGACGATGTCTTTACCAGGTTTAGTCAGACCTCCACTACTGTGAGCAGAGACAGACCACAATGGAAAAGTCAACAGCACAATTTGGATTTGCCTTGGATTTGAATATATTTGTTCCAGTGAATCTAAAAAATGGCTGATGGGGGATTTGCATCTGGTTTACTTTAGACTTAACTAGTGGATGATTTTATCCTAGGTGGTTTAAGTTCAAGCTACTGACTCCGAGTTCCAAAACCTCTGTACAGTGTATTTGGAAACATCTTTATTTTTGTAATTCCATTGTGCTTTTAAAATGATACACTTCCTATTTTATACATCCACTTCTTCTATCAAGCCTAACAGTTTCAGGGTGTAAACAAAATGAATGTTTCTGAAATATTTTTGAGAAAATGATACTTCTAGCTAACAGTTGAACTAAGGAAAATGAGGTGAATATTTATTTAGAGTAAAGTCCCACAGTGACTTGTCATGTACGGTGATCCCATCAGTCATAGAGTCAAAGCGAGTGAGGGATCTGGAGAATGGATGTGCAGTAAATCAGGCCTGATGAGAGGCACTCAGAGCGACGGGAGAGCTTCCATGCTGCTTGAGTCCTTTCCAGTCCTGCATAACGGTCTGTCTGGACTGCTCCAGTTCCATTACCCACAGCCCTCTGTGTCGTGCCAAGTGGGGCGGCATTAATTGGCCAGTTTGCTTTGTTTGTTTGTATGTATGTTTTATTCATTTCTGGTTAGTATCCAGCAGTTAGGCCACTTGCCAATGAGGATGGAATGATATCTATTTATAATCATTTTCACCAATGCATAGTTGGGTGCTTATCAGCAGGCCCAGACAGAATCTGCAGATATTTGCATTTAAACAGAGAGGAATGCGTTAAATGGATTTAAGCATGCTGCACTCTTAAAGCATAGATCAAGTCAGCCAAAATATTTCATAACTGCACACACAAGGGGCAGTTCTGTGGAAATGTATGCAGTTTTCTGCAGAAGTCTGGGCCTGCTTGCCAGATGCCAAACTTCTTCTTTGGATAAATCAGAATCAATGTAGCAGACAAAAACAATAAAAATTCAAAAATGAATCATGGTAGCCATGTTAACTCATTAAGAGGGTACATTACTTGTTAACACTGATTCTGCCTGTTTGTTCTTAATTGATTGTAATGTAATTGTCATAAATTATAACATACTGAGGTAAATATGAATATTTGACTGTATGTTTCTTTTCCTGTATGCACAGGGCCCGCAGAGGTTCCGATGATGTCACCCAATGGATCCATCCCACCCATCCATGTGCCTCCCGGCTACATCTCCCAGGTGAGTGCAAAATGTCAATATCATAATTTTAGGATAGTATCATTAATAAATATTATTTATAAATTCAGCTTGAACATGACCTGAGAAAAGCAAAAGAAAATCAGCTAGAATATAACATAAGCTAAAATATTTATTTTCTGCTTCATTTAAATGACACTGCACATTATAAATTAGAGTTGCCTGTGCTGTGCCAAAACTTTATTTGAAAATGTGTTTCCAAGTGTGCATTGTATGTGACAGCTTCCATCTTTAAAAAAAAAAATCAATAATGCAAAAACAGAATTTAATAATGTCCTCAGGACCGACTACCTCTCATACTCTCACCTCTGTAAGTGAGACTTGTGGTCTGTCCAGGGCTCTTACATCTCTATAATGATCCATTAGGCATTATATAATAATCTGTCGCCGTTCTAAACCACATGGTGATTCCTATCTAACAGATGAAAGAGGTAATCAATATGTAGCAAGTACTGATCTGGAATGAGCTCTCCAAACCGTAATCTTTATCTCGCTTCTGATCAGCCAGACATGAAAGCAGACCCCTGACCAGTAGCTGTTGGAGAGATACAATCAGCACGGCAACAGCTCTGGGCCTGGAGCCTAGTGGTTACATTACGTCTTCATTTAGAGTTCAACAGACCTCACCTCAGCTTCTACCCACAAGCTGACAAACACCATTTCTGACTCTATGCTGGAAAGAACTATTAAGAATATTTGTATTTTGACTAGTTTGAGTTGATTTTCTGATTCACTAGGGTATTTATTTAGACCTGTGGTTCTTAATTGGTAGTTTGAGACCCAAAAATGGGTTGCAGTGGTTCTTTTTTTTTGTGACTTTCATGCAATGTTGCTATTGATTTCGCCATGTACTTTTTCCTGGGACTTTCTTTCTCAAGGACACAGTGGTGATGGCTCATGGCACCCTTAACCACTTATGTAAAAGATGCAAATACCTGCTAGAATGTCATGGAGGACCAAGCAGAGAGTAAATACAGCGGATAGAGAAAGTTGGGAGACATATGACCCTATGACCAATGTTGAGTAAAGGTTGTTATCTGGTGATGATTTTTCCCAGAAAGGCAGATTAGAAAACAAACAGATTAGACCTCTGTTTACTTATAGTGGGTTTCTGTACCCTGTACTCTCAGTAGGAAAACAGAAAGGTGTTGTGCACCTATTTTCTTTTTGAGAGGGTGCCAGTGGCAGTCGTGGCTCATTTGGTGGGATAGGTGAGATAAGACACGACCAAAAAAATATATACTTAAACTAAACTTAAGTGTATATTACATTATAATACTGTAATTCAATATTCAAACTATGAGCAGGACATATTTTTTTTTTAAGTCAAGTGGATTTAAATGCAACAAATATTCATTTATTTATTAGTTTTAGAAGCATTTAAAATCCACTTGATTAAAAAATCACACCCTCTTAGTTTAAATGGGCATGACTCTTTGCCCCTCCTGTGTCAGTTGAAGGAATCTGCTAATTGTCCAAAGGTCATTGTATTTGTGTTTAATTTAGGTCAGTGCCAGCTAGGAGCGGGAAGCACAGTCAGAACTATGGGCATTTAACTACAGGAGACCAGTATCCAGACACACTTTTAGTAGCAGCTTTTTCTTTTCAGACTAATTCATCCTTATTGTACAGTACAACTGAGATCACCTGAGAGTATTATGAAATCATAACGATATTTAGCAGTCATATTGTCGCAGTGTCATTGCGTTCTCCTTCATAATTGTCTTTCTAGTACTGCAGTGGGGCTGAACAGGTCTGATTTTTGTTAGGGGTAACGGTAATTAGGCTTTTGTTATGTATAAATTGTATGCACTTTATTTTAAGTAAAATGGATTACACACATCTCCTTTAAAATCTAGATCATGTTAGTAGATCATATTAGTAGACCCACAGCAGGGTAATTATAATGAACTAAAACTAAAATCTTAAAAACTTTATTATCAAATAAATATTAACTGAAGTAAAATCTAAAAACAATTAACATTTTATATCAGTTAGATATCAGTGCAACAATTATCATTTACATTTAATTTAAAAAAGCTATATAGACATTAAAAAAGACAAAAAACACAACACAATTAAAATTGAAATACAAAATACAAAATAAACTAATTCAGAAATGTATAAAACTATAATAGATACTAAAATAACACCGATCCAGAGACCCATCTCCACTCTTAGTTCACATTCCTCATTCTCAGTCAGTCTGATGTCTCTCATAGGCATGCATAATGAAGCAATGTTTCTCACCGTGTGCTCAACATCTGAATGCACAGCAAGCCTGGACTTGATCTAAGCATCGCTGATCACTCTTGACACCTTATCTCACACTGCTGTCTGCTTATTGATAGGCCTGTCAAACATGCTGTCATGTACACACACACACATGTAAACACACTCTCAGGGTCAGCAGGTCAGACAGGTGGAGTAGTGGTCAGCTACTGAAGAGGATTTCACGATATCATGCAGTGTTGTCCTGAGACTTAGTTTTATGAAATAATAATACTTGTTGCATTGATATTTCATGGCCTTGCATCAATATTTGCAATATTTGTGTACATTTTTTTTATTTGAACATTCATATGATTTTAAGCTGGAAATGTCAGGGAATTTCAAGTCTTTCATTCTGAAAATTCATTAAAATGAATAAAATCTTATGTTCTCACTATAGGTGTTGGAGGACAACACAGGGGTCCGGAGAGTGGTGGTCACCCCTCAGTCTCCAGAATGTTATCCTCCCAGCTATTCCCCAGCCATCTCTCCAACTCATCACTTACCTCCGTACATGGCCCCACCACCCTTTATTCCCAACTCACACACGGCCTTCTACCCACCCGTCAGCCCTGGGGACATCCCCCCCCACCAGTACTACCAGCATCATATCCCACCCATGTACAATGAAGGTAAGAGTGTGTATGATCACTGACTTATTCTTCTTTCTACTTACCTCTTACCATGTCAAGTGAAATCTCATGATTCACCATACCTATTTCAATACCACAGCCAAAACTGTTACAATATTGTACACACTAATAAAATAAATTAAAACAGTAATATAGGAATGAATATTTTCTATATCATCATACTTAAGTATTGATACAAGTATTGAATGTAATACATTTGTGAGAGTACCAAAAAATGTAGCATCACTTGTTTTTTTCCATCACAATGTCCTCTTAGGTGCTCCATACCTTTTCAGTGGTTTTGAAAGCGTAATTTTCACTATTTTCAACTTAAATAGCAGTTTAATGGTTGAATGATTGTTTTGTTGCCGCAGAGATAATTCCTGTGTATGGGATGAACTACATTGGGCGAGATGAGCAGTACAAACCACCACCAAAGAAGATGAAGGACAGACTGGAGCGTCAGAATCGGCTCAACAGCCCTCCCTCCATCTATAAGAGCAACATGGCATGCACCAATATGTACAATGGCTATGGCAAGGTCCACGGAAATCTTGGTGGTGGCGGAGGAGGAAGAAGCAGTCCTGGAGCTAAAAAAAACGCCCGTGGAGCTCGGAGTAGCCCCAGGTCCAGTGAGCCAGACTTACAAGGTAAGAACTTTTGCAGCAACCCTCTACGGACACCTTGGCAATTGAATCGCCATTGGCTAGTAAATTTTTTTGTTTACTCGCCAGACTGATATACCATATATGCATGTGTGTTTTAAATATATAATGTGTGTGAGACAAGGTGTGCACCTTTACACTAGAGTTCACAGTACGTTAAATACAGGTGCGTTGCACATCCATTCAGATGAACTGAAAAAGATCACAGATCGCTTGACGGAGAGTGAAACTCTGAAGCGCTCAGTCAGTGTGTTCGGCGAGTGAAAATATATCTGTGCTAAACTTATACTTAGCGTCCAACTCACACACTGGCGAGTAAAATCTGAGAATTTATTAGCCATTGGCTAATATTAGACATCATTTAGTCGCCCAGAGTGAAGATTAGTCGCATATGCGAGTGATTTACTCGCAATGTAGAGGGTTGTGCAGGTCTATTTTCTAAGTTTTCTAAGTTTCTACTTTTGCAGGTTTATCTTTCTCAGTTTGTAGACTATCATTCAAAAGTTTGGGGTCAGTAGGAATTTTTTTTTTTTTTTTTTAAAGAAATTGACACTTTGAATCAACAAGGATGCATTCAGTTGATCAAAAGTGACAATGAAGATATTTGTAATGTTACAAAAGAGTTCTAAAAATTCTGTTCTTATGCATCAAAGAATCCTGAATAAAATGTAACTCTTCCACTAAAATGTTAAGCAGCACAATGGTTTTCAACATTGATAATAAAAAGAAATTTGAGCGCTAAAACTGAATGATTTCAGAAGAATAATGTGACACTAAATAGTGGAGTAATGGCTGCTGAAAATTCAGCTTTGCCATCAAAGTAAAAAAAATTATTTTAAAATTTTTTGAAGGGGAAAAAAGTTATTTTAAAGTCTAAATATTTAATAAATTCTAAATTTTAAAGCTGCAGTCCGTAACTTTTGGCAAGCTGCAGTCCGTAACTTTTGGCGCTCTAGCAGTTAATAAACAGAACTGCGTGCGTCTTGCGGAAGAACATTGTAGCCGGAGCTACTTCTCTCTGTTTATGTCTATGGCAAATCACGCAGGTACTGGGCTACTCCGCAGCGGTACCTACCCGAAGCAGTCTAAATAGTCCGAATATAAACACTTATTGTAGGTGTACTGTAGTGATTCAGGACAAGCCAAAAACACGGTTTGGAAAATGGATTCATGGTGTACTCGCTTATTATGTAAATTTTGTAATTTTTGAACACAAAAAAGTTACGGACTGCAGCTTTAAATATTTCACAATATTTCTGTTTTTGCTGTATTTTTAATCAAATAACCTCTTCAGCCTTAAGAGACTTTTCAAAAACATTTTAAAAAATCTTACTGACTTTGAACGGTAGTGTATATGTGTATAAGATAAATAATAAAACTTTTAATATGAAATAATATTTTTATTTTTAATATAATTTAAAATATATTGTAATATTATTTGTTTAATAAAAATAAACCAATCTGAAGTAAAGTCCTGTTCTTTCATCATGTAAAAGCTAAGTTACATGGAATTTCATGAGTCAGAGCAGAGTGAGATAGTTATATTCTGCTTTGTGCCGAAAATTCTCGGCAACGTTTACACAAGACATTATAGATGTTATTGTGGTTACGTTAAATCATCTTGTACATGGCTAGAATATTTAGCCTCTGATGTTTCACGGCTTCCATTAGACATCTGTAATGCATGTTTCCCTCAGTGTACCCACAATGTTTTTCTCTCTCCTCTTAAAAAAAAAAAAGATAAATGCATCGATCGAGGTAAAGGGGTTCGTCATGCCGCGGAAACTGCATAGCTGGGAATCGCCAAGGTGCTATCGTTTTTCCAGCACCCACAATGTGGCCCTTGTGTCTCAGGTTGGGCCTCTGCTGAAAGGCAGCCCACATACCTGTGGAGTCACATTCTCTCAATGAAGGGGTCCTTTGAGCTTGGCCACCGATCCTCACCAATTCCACATGTGCCTTATCAGGCCCCCTGCAGTGCCGTTTGGAGAAGAGCTCCATTTAAGATGCTGTTCACATGCTGTTTCGCACTCAAGAACATTTTCTTAACATAAACGTATTTTAGAGTATACATCCAAAACTGTGCTAAATTATTTAAGTGCACGCCTGCACTCCAGAAGGTCATTGCCGTTTTTCTGCACTTCTGCCAATGCCAATGCCCATTTTTTCTTTTTTCTTTTTTCTTTTTTGTTCTCTCAGCCTTTGGTGTCCTTGAAGTTTTAGCTTTAAATTATGTAAGTGCCACTGATCCCAGGTGTTCCATCAATGCATGCACATTTGCAGGTGCTAACAAATGCTGCAAAGGGAATGACCCCTTCGTTTATTTGATCTGCCAAAAGGGCAGAATTGGCCCTCAAAAAAAAAGAAAGAAAAAAAGCATCCACGTTCAGTGATGTATTAGTCTGTATGTTTTATGTTAAAGGCAGAACATGTAGCATTATATAGATGTGTTGTAAGACTTGACTCAGTGTCTGACATCATGTAAACGTGATTTGTCTGTTGCAAGCGCAAGTCTAACAAGCAAAACAAGAATTGCTCATACAGTACATCCATATGGTGTTTCTATATTACACACACTTAGAGTATCTTCAGGATCAAAGGCGAATACCGGCTGTGGCAGAGTTCCCAGGAGATAAGACTGCCTGTGAAGCTATTACTCAATATCTTTGGCTGCTGTACACTTTATACATGCTAGTTAAATGATTTTTGTTGATGATTATTTTGTCTTGCATATTGAATAACTCATAAAAACATCTTTATGTGATATTTTAAAACCATCTTTTTATTCAGTTTTGATGTCAACATTTGAGCAGAGGTGCATATTGATTATTGAAAGCAGGACAATGAGCAGAAGTTTGTGTGCTGACAAGGTTTTGCTTCAACTGTTTATGAGCCTATAAAATTAAAATTATAGTTTGCCCAAAATTATCATTTGGTCACCCCTGTGTTGTTCCAAACCTGTATGATCTTACTTCTGTGGAATGCAAAAGAAGATATTTTGAAAAATATACAGGTATTAGTGTTTTTTTTGTGTGCATACAAGTCAGTGGGACCCAATTTTGTTTTGGACCCCATAGACGTTCATTGTATAAACAAAAAGGTTTAACATTCTTCAGAATATCTTCGTTTGTATTCCACAGAAAAACATAAGTCATACTGGTTTGGAATGACATGAGTGTCAGTTAATGAAGACAATTTTCATTTTCTGGTGAACTGTCGCTTTAAAGCTGAGAAATGATCTTACATGTTGTCTGGTTATTGAGTGTAATAGGGTGTAAAATCTTGCACTCACTGTAGGCCAAACGGATGAGTGTTGTAGATGAGAAGTCACCAGAAGCAGGGCACTGGGGGTGAGTCTACGCAGCGTGTGGCTCTCCTCTGTGGAATCGACTGAATGGTTGATGAAGGATAGAAAACAAACTTGAGGCTTCTTGCTCACATCACTTACTGAGGGCTACAGCCATCTGGGCCTCACTGCAGCCTTGCTTTTAGGCATAAATCATCACAAACCACATATACACATATGCAGAATAGGCTCTCTGGGTCACACTGGAGATCAGGTTAAGATTTTTTTTCTTTCTGAGAGGAAGCTGCAATAGTGTGATCAAACGTAAGACTGAAGAACAAAAAAAAAAAAAAAATTGAGGGAATGAGAAACAAAAGGGCAGAGATTCCAGCTGTCGAAAATACTTTGTTGTTGGCATAGCAGCTTGAAGATCCAGGCCTGGCTACCAATCAAAACTAGAGCTGTGAAAACAACTCGACTTGTCCACTCTCAGCACTTCGGCTGGACGGTCTTTGCTCAGATCACCCCACGGGCACAAACACGCTCACCTCAGCTCACGAAGCTCAATTACATAAGACAGGAAACCATATCCCGGGGCCCATCAGCTCCTTTCCTAAGCTGCAAGGATATTTGCGCTTTCTACCGCTCCATCTTCATTAACTAGATTAGGCTGGGGCTAAACCTGTGTGCAGAGCAAGACTGGCCACTAGATTAACCTTCTCATGGTCTCAAGCTTGCAGCATTTCAACCTTAACTCCTTTCTATCTCCAGTTTTCCTTGTGTGTTTGCATGGACTCAAGCAGAAACAGATGTTCACTTCTGCTTCTCTTTGGCACTGTGCATTTCCTCCAGCCACGTGCTTTCACTCCGTCATTACCGTCCAGAAGCAACAGATGTTCCTTAATCTTGACTTTGTGTTTTTGCCACAATGGTAATAGTTTCCCACACTTACTCTCTCACAACATATGAGTCACTGAGAAAGGTTATGCCCTGAGGCCACTTCGATAACAACATGGCTATAGAGCAATAATGGGTGACGCAACTTGGGAAAACCTAATCATATGAGAAGGTCAAGGGCAGATAAGACCTGGTAACCGGATGCTAGCTCTCCACCTAGTTAAACATGACCTTTCCATTATCTGCTGGTGCTTATTCGGTCTTTTACAGTTGGCACGCCAGAACTCTCACCTGTCTTACAAGTCTGGGTAGATTGCTTTTTTATGAAGGTGCCATAGAAACTAGGCCAAAATGTGTGTGTTTTTCTGGGAAGTCCCTCTTACAGCTCTTACAGTAAGACAATGCACAAACTGCGTCTGTTTCAGTGGAACTGTTTGTCTGTGCCAGGGTTATTAATGGTGGTTTCAGCTAAATGTGCTTGTGAGAACAAGCCTTGCAGTTCTATTAAATCAAATCAACTTGTTACTCCATGTACATTTGTAAAATTATATATAATATATGCAAACACAAATAGTAATGCAAAGATGTGAATAGCAAAGTCAGCTCATTTTTACTGCCCCCCAAAATAATCATTCTTTTATATCTGTATGTGCTAGAAATATTTGTAATTTCATTAAATGTTTCTTTGCCATTTTTTCTTCAATGTACTGTATATTTTTTTCTTTACTAAAATAAAATGTATATATTTTTTTCTATATAAAACATAGAGTAATTATTCAACTATAAATTATTCAGATATAAT